GTAAATGCTCCGTACTTGTATAGTGCCTTTCTAGTCTTTTCAACCACTCAAAGCGCTTTTACACTACATCTAAATTCACCAGTCATACACATTCATACACTGGCGGAATAGCCGCCAGGGGCAATTCGGGGTTCAGTATCTTGCCCAAGGACACTTCGACACGCAACCAGGGGGAGCCAGGGATTGAACCGCCGACCTTCCGATTAACGGCCAACCCGCACCTCCTGAGCCACAGCCGCCCAAAGTTCAGTCCTCACAGTTTGTCCCATGTGGTAAATGTCAGTTCATTTCTTTGCCATGCTCTTTAACAAGGTTTCAGATATTTGGCACTTTTGTGAGTCTGGTGTTCCTTGGCCAAGCCTTCACTATCATGCTGGTGTATGTGTGGAGTCGGCGAAACCCAAACGTTCGCATGAATTTCTTTGGCCTGCTGAATTTCCAGGCACCCTTCCTACCCTGGGTGCTGATGGGATTCTCACTTCTTCTGGGCAACTCCATCATCGTGGATCTTTTAGGTACTTATCACTGTCATTTGCTGTAATGATTTAGTACTGTGGAAGTTGTGGGGTTGTGGTGTGCAAAATGAATAGCGCTGGTGTTTTTCCCTTACTTAAGGTATCGCAGTTGGTCATGTGTACTACTTTCTGGAGGATGTTTTCCCCAACCAGCCAGGTGGTGGAAGGTGGCTGAAGACCCCATCTATCATGTGAGTCTATTATTTTTCCTAACATTTTTGGTGAATGAAACAAGACTGAAGCTGTAAGAATCAATATTCAATACACCCTACTACAATTTATCAGTAATTATCTTTGTGAACATTAGACATTTTATCCTTGAGGTGGCCCTAGAGGAAAGCGCTGTCCTCTGGGGAGCCTGAATCTGCTTAGGAAAATTAATGGTGGTCTGTCAGTGAGATTTCTTGTGTATGAGTGGAGATTTTGGCTTGTTAGCTGCACTAGATCAGGGGTTTTTAAAGTCTGATACAATTTTTTAGAACTACAGTTAGGGGATTGTAAACAGGAGCTTAAGGTAGACTTAGCACACATAGCACAGTAAAAGTCCCAAAACATACACTACCGTTCAAAAGTTTGGGGTCACCCAAACAATTTTGTGTTTTCCTGAAAAGTCACACTTATTCACCACCATACGTTGTGAAATGAATAGAAAATGGAGTCAAGACATTGACAAGGTTAGAAATAATGATTTGTATTTGAAATAAGATCTTTTTTACATCAAACTTTGCTTTCGTCAAAGAATCCTCCATTTGCAGCAATTACAGCATTGCAGACCTTTGGCATTCTAGCTGTTAATTTGTTGAGGTAATCTGGAGAAATTGCACCCCACGCTTCCAGAAGCAGCTCCCACAAGTTGGATTGGTTGGATGGGCACTTCTTGCGTACCATACGGTCAAGCTGCTCCCACAACAGCTCAATGGGGTTCAGATCTGGTGACTGCGCTGGCCACTCCATTACCGATAGAATACCAGCTGCCTGCTTCTGCTCTAAATAGTTCTTGCACAATTTGGAGGTGTGTTTAGGGTCATTGTCCTGTTGTAGGATGAAATTGGCTCCAATCAAGCGCTGTCCACTGGGTATGGCATGGCGTTGCAAAATGGAGTGATAGCCTTCCTTATTCAGAATCCCTTTTACCCTGTACAAATCTCCCACCTTACCAGCACCAAAGCAACCCCAGACCATCATATTACCTCCACCATGCTTAACAGATGGTGTCAGGCATTCTTCCAGCATCTTGGGGCGGCTGTGGCTCAGGAGGTAGAGCGGGTTGGCCGTTAATCGGAAGGTCGGCGGTTCAATCCTGGCTGAACCCCGAATTGCCCCTGGCGGCTATTCCGCCAGTGTATGAGTGAGTGTGAATGTTAGTTTCCGTTTGAGCACTTAGGCTCAGTGTATGAATGTGTGTGACTGGTGAATGCAGATGTAGTGTAAAAGCGCTTTGAGTGGTCGAAAAGACTAGAAAGGCGCTATACAAGTACGGAGCATTTACAGCATTTACATCTTTTCATTTGTTCTGCGTCTCACAAACATTCTTCTTTGTGATCCAAACACCTCAAACTTGGATTCATCCGTCCACAACACTTTTTTCCAGTCTTCCTCTGTCCAATGTCTGTGTTCTTTTGCCCATCTTAATCTTTTATTGGCCAGTCTCAGATATGGCTTTTTCTTTGCCACTCTGCCCTGAAGCCCAGAATCCCGCAGCCGCCTCTTCACTGTAGATGTTGACACTGGTGTTTTGCGGGTACTATTTAATGAAGATGCCAGTTGGGGACCTGTGAGGCGTCTGTTTCTCAAACTAGAGACTCTAATGTACTTATCTTCTTGCTCAGTTGTGCAACGCGGCCTCCCACTTCTTTTTCTACTCTGGTTAGAGCCTGTTTGTGCTGTCCTCTGAAGGGAGTAGTACACACCGTTGTAGGAAATCTTCAATTTCTTAGCAATGTCTCGCATGGAATAGCCTTCATTTCTAAGAACAAGAATAGACTGTCGAGTTTCAGATGAAAGTTCTGTTTTTCTGGCCATTTTGAGCGTTTAATTGACCCCACAAATGTGATGCTCCAGAAACTCAATCTGCTCAAAGGAAGGTCAGTTTTGTAGCTTCTGTAACGACCTAAACTGTTTTCAGATGTGTGAACATGATTGCACAAGGGTTTTCTAATCATTAATTAGCCTTCTGAGCCAATGAGCAAACACATTGTACCATTAGAACACTGGAGTGATAGTTGCTGGAAATGGGCCTCTATACACCTATGTAGATATTGCACCAAAAACCAGACATTTGCAGCTAGAATAGTCATTTACCACATTAGCAATGTATAGAGTGTATTTCTTCAAAGTTAAGACTAGTTTAAAGTTATCTTCATTGAAAAGTACAGTGCTTTTCCTTCAAAAATAAGGACATTTCAATGTGACCCCAAACTTTTGAACGGTAGTGTATATATTTTTTAAAAGTAACTCCTAAGTATTCTATTAGACCTGAGGAACGTTCCCGTCGTTTTGCTGGTGCGTTATCATTTTTTCAAACCGGTAATGCAGATATGAGGAAAATATGCGATGTGCAATAACATTGTTCAATATTACACTGATGATATGACTTGTGACAAATAAACAAATATTAAAGTGTGCGTATTAGCTGCCTGGCTGTCTTTAAATTCAGAACAGGATTAGAAATGAATATTTTAAAGATAACTGTCCAGTTTGACGGTTTGACAGTACCTGAACCGTGATGATAAGCAGGCCAAACTGTAATAACTGTTTTTAGATCCCCAACATGCACCTGTCTCTTTCACCTCACACTGTATCACATCTCACCCTCTGCACTGCCTCTAACTCTCCCTGCCCTCCTGGGGAGGCACACCTCACAGTTTGAAATTTCTGTACTTGTACTAGATGAAAGGTCACAGGGTCACCAAATCACTGGGAATCATTCTGTGAGACCAATAATGAATGCTGAATCTGGCCAGCAGTTGTCTTATTGATTAAATTCATTCTTAGGTCGCCCCACAAGCAGGGCAGAAAACACTAATAAAAATTCAGAGATGTATTGTCTGTTTGTACATGTAATGTGTTTGCCTTGGTAATCATCCCATTAACTAACAGTTCCTCTAAGAGCTGCCACTTCCTTTGTGTGTTTTTTAGAAATGACTCATCCTTCTCATCTGTGTGTCTCCTACAGAAAGATGCTGTTTGACACTCCAGAGGAAGATGCCAACTACAACCCCCTGCCTGAGGAGCGCCCGGGAGGGTTTGCCTGGGGAGAGGGACAGCGCCTTGGAGGTTAAATATGCCCCCAGGTCACGTGCCTTCCATGGACATTCCCTCAGAGAGATGAAGGGGACAAACATGGTCTTTGTTTTTGACATGTTTGTTTAGTTCTGGATGAAGAATGCCAAACAATCCAAACTGGTTTGGAGATAACCGTCTGTTGTCTTTGTATATGGGCTTAAATCATCCTCAGAAACTCTTTTTGATGCCAGATCGTTGCTCTAAGACTATTTGAGAGAACTCAACCTTTGGATGGAACTTTGGACGGTGAGCCTTTGGGCTTAGGTGACGTTTGTCTTCATCTTAGAAATAAATATATTGATATAAAACGACTGTCATATGAAAGAGGAAAAAAATAACAGCAGTAAAATATTATGAAAATGGAATTATTCAGATGGCAAGAGCTTTTTTTTTTTTCATTTCACTTTTTAAAAAAATAAATGTGTGTGGCATATGATGTTTTGGTTTCATCTCTTTGAACTGTAGTAATATTGCATGAAACCAAAGACATCTCAACAAAGTAGATTAATTGATTCTTACAAATAATATAATGGTCAGTTTGAAGGATCTTTTAACTTCTCTACAGAGCAGGTTATTGCAACATCCAAATAACAAGTTTTGTATTCTGTCTTCAACTTCAGTCCAGCTTTCCCTCCATACTGTACTCCTTTTTTTATTCATTTGATACAAACAGCCTTAAATCTGATGTGTAGTAAGTAAACAGTCTATGGGTAATACACAATCACAATACACACTCTGCTTTCAACAAGGTGAGTCCTGCCTGTTATTTGTATTTGTGATACTTTGTTCTTATTTAATAACTTTTGCACACATTTAGATTTTTTTTATGTTGACATGTACTGCACATATAAATGATACACTTAAATATCATGTTTAGATTCATACATCTCTTATTTGTGCTTCACATGCTTTGTTTTGATCTAACTAAATATTATATCAAAAATATATATATACACACACTAAATATGGTTTTTATTGTAATACAGCACATTAGATTACATTACGTCATAACGACATTTCATTAGGAGAGTCCCCAGTGAGATGGAAATACCAGATAAACATTACAGATAATCGGAGTTAAATCTGATCTCACTTTTGATCAATAGGTGGCGGTAATGGGCTTTAAACATGATTTGTCTACCTTGAAACAAACGAAGAGTAAAGACAATGCAGCGTTCGTGATTTTCGGGAAATCTTTCACCAAATACGTGAAGCGCATCGCGAATCATGACATGGCTTGGACAGAAGTGGTTGTGGTTTTCAGTTAATTGAGGGTTTCTCTTTATGTCGTCTTACACTTATTGAGCAGACACGCTTCTAGTTTTTTAAGGACAGAACGCTGAAGTAAAGTCAACGCAATTTTCTAGAGGAGTCCTGATTTCCCGGCTGTATCGTAGTACCCGAACACATCTGAGGAAGAGAAGGCTGCTTATTAGTTTGCTGGTTAGCCACTGCGCAAAGATGCAATTGGCTTTAAGTAAAACGTTTGGGCAGAAGCCAGTTAAATTTCAGTTAGAACAAGATGGGGACTTTTACATGGTTGGGTCGGAGGTATGTGGCTATCTATTCATTGACTTTCAATGCTTAGCTCCCTAATGTTAGCCTCAGTTATCCATTCTTCTCGCTAGTTAATGCTAGCATGCTACCTAGCCCCAATGATGGCTGCATAAACAAAGAAATACCTAAAAATGAAGAACGGGGTGTACTAGGGTAAAGTGAGACCAACAGCCTGCAACTCAAGCATCAGTTATGGTGTTCCAAACAAAATAAATAACCGCTAACCTAACAGCTTTTGCTGTTTTGCTGTAACTTCTTCCCAGCTTGCTATATTAAACCTGAGAGAAATAACGTTATCGTTAGTTGTGCTGGACCACTAAGTTTAATAAACATGAAGTTATGTGCAACAGAGCACAGAGTTTGTCACCCCCTCAATATCTATGGACCTCCTGATATTTTTGATACTCCAAAGCCAAACCACTTATCGTGTTGAATTTGAAGAACAGTAAAGCTGTCTACAGTAGTCTGGCTGTGTCTGAAAGACCAGAAAAGTCCTGGAGGAACACCTGGTGCACTTAACGTTACATAAATTATACAAATTTTGTTTTGTCTTTATGAAAATATTTTTTTCTGTTGTTCAGTTTCAAACAACAGGCACTGTGATCCTAATCTAATGCTTATGTAGATAGTGTGCATGGTCCTGTAAGACAGACAAAAACAACTTGTCTTAGGAACTTGTAGTTCCTCAAACCTGGATGGTTAATTTTAATGACTTGTGTGCAAAAAAACAAAGAATGTACTTCTAATATCACAGAACATTTAGTTTTTTAAATGTGTGTGTTTGCTTTTTCATTTATTTGCTTTTAGTTTACTAAAAGATCTACCTTCTGCTCTCCAGGTTGGAAACTATCTGCGTATGTTCAGAGGCTCTCTGTATAAAAGATATCCATCTTTATGGAGGAGGCTGGCCTCGGTGGAGGAGAGGAAGAAAATCGTAGCATCGTCACATGGTGAGTGTTTTTTTTTGTTTGTTTGTTTTTACACTGGAGGATGTCAGTTTGGACTACTCCTTGTCTGGAATTCTAATATAATGAATAAGACTATCTGTGTTTTGTATATTTTACATAAATAGTGTCTGTCTGATTGGACTTTATCAGAGAGAATCTTCCAGCATACTCAAGTTAGTAAACCTGTGGTTAACACAGCCAGGTAGCCTCCATGGTTTATATAAGCAAAGAGCAACACTTTGGGGAACCCAGCTTTCATCAACAGAAAGTGGTGACGGTGATGACGTAGCCATAATGAACTTATAGATATAGCTCTTCAAATCTGAGCAAACATGACGTGTCTCTTTCCCATGTCCACCTGTAGCCACTAGTGTTACTCTGCTGAAGGCATCAGAATGTGAAGAGATCTTCGAGGGTAATGACGAGAAATACAAGGCGGTGTCCATCAGTACAGAGCCCCCGGCTTACCTCAGGTAATTTCTTTCAGATGTTGGCTGGTTCAGCATTTGTCCTGTTTGTTTTATAATCTTTACAAACTGGTGTTACTTTTTTCCTGGCCCAAAAAGTGTGAGACTCAAATGCAGCACTGAAATCAGTTTTACTATAGTTAGTAAACGATTAAAGGGGAACATTGCTTATGTTTCACATGAAGGTGGTTTTTCAAAATCTGACAAAATAACCCTGATGATGTCATAATGATGTCAGCAGGTTTGACAGCTTGGGCTTTGAAAAATTGTAGCAAAAAGCCTGCGTTACAAAGTGGAGGTTTGGAATTTGAGAGACATTGCCATTTATCAGTTAGGGAAGGTCTAACAATGCCAAAGATGCTTACAAGTTGCATTATGGGCAATGTTGGATCCACTATTTTTTGGAGCTAGATTTATTAGGAACTAAAGGTCTTTTTTGTGGTTCCCCTAACCTCATGGAAGTACAATACTTCAAAGCTTGCGTACTCTTCTCAACAGTGTGTTTTTGTCCTTCTCTGCAAAGGGAGCAGAAAGCAAAGAGGAGCAGTCAATGGGTTCCCACGCTGCCCAACAGCTCTCACCATCTAGATGCAGTGCCTTGCTCCACCACCATCAATCGCAACCGAATGGGCCGTGATAAAAAGAGGACCTTCCCCCTGTGGTGAGAAAGATGTTTGTTTTTACAAATAATGCAAAAAGTGCTACAGGGTGACACGAGCTCAGTATCCTGTCAGTCTGCATCTGATATTAATTAGATGTGATGCAATACAGTATAGCAGGCCTGCAATAAATAATAAGTATGGAAAATACAAATACAGTATAGTTGTGACTGTTGTGGTTTTTTGCCTGTACTTTGGACTGATGTTACTTCATTAGAATTGTTCATATGATGCAGTTCAATTCAACAACACCACAAACTACAGCTAAAGTGAGTCAAATAAACATCTCTTTGGCAGGGGCAGTTGTAGAGTCAGTGGAGATCTGGAGCTTAGCTCTGAAATCTTTAATAATTATTATTTATACTTCAAACACACAGTTAATAGGGAAGAACAGCATTTCCCACCTATATTTTAAACAGTGTATAAGATAGTTGTGTAAGACTTGTCTGAGAGTTCCCTTTTTTGCTCTCAGTGTTTCCTTACTGAGCCCTAGCACAGATTTGATTTGTTACTTGTTATTTGATTTAGGGGTAGTGAGGCGTGCGACCTCTGACATGTACAGCAATTGTAAGTCTCTTTGGATAAAAGCGTCAGCTAAATGAATAAATTTAAATTTGTCTAACACATACGGTAGGGGCAGGACCTAGGTGCCACACAACTTTATTCACTAGATTTGGTGAAACTGGATCAGATTATATGGAGAAAATATTTAGTGGTTTTCCCTCTGATGTCTGTGAAAGAAAATTTCTCTTCCTAAAAAAGAGTTACGGAGTCAAAGATGTGAGTAATTAATCCCTTATGACGTGGCCATGGAGAGACAGAGTTTTAGAATACTCCAGAATACTTGGCTCTTCCTGAGATGACAAAGATATGCAAATATATGTATATAGCAAAAGATGTCCCACAGCCGCTTCCCTTTCATCACTGTGACGTCACAGGGATGAAAGCTAAATGCGCCTCATATAACACTCGCTAGGGGCTACTCCAACACGCCCTCAGAAACACCAGTGGAAAAACAGTGAGCTGCAGCACACAGCTCTCCTCTCCCTGCCAAACACTAGCTACCCTCCAGGCAGTCAGTGGACATAAAGTTGTTCCTGTGATGTAGAGACAGAGCTCAGTTAAAACTTTATGGATGAAAGATTCTTTTGTTACAGATTAATAACTCACCACTCTGAAACTCTTGCTCCAGTTCATGTTGCCAAGCTGTTCGGCAACATGTACAGCTGAACCGAAGCCGTGTTTACCGGCTTCTCACTGACCCACCCTACTCTGCTTCTGATTGGCTAGTAGTCCTTAACAAGGAACTGCGCATGTGCAACTCCCAACAAAGCTCATTTAGAGACAAGATGTATCACTCCATAGCTAAAACGAAGCCTTCAACACAGGGTGAAAAGAGGAGCTGCAGCAATGTGCAGTATGACAAAAAAGATGGTGTTTTTTGAAAATGAAACCATGTAAACCTGAAAATGAGCACAATATGACCTCTTTAAAAAAAAAAAAAAAGTGAACTTGGTGATGTGTGAATGGTCAGATTATGAGCTTTGAGCGTTGCTTGGAGAAACGATGATGATGATCAAACATTGTGTCCTTATCTGCATCGCTCAGCTTTGATGACCATGACCCTGCAGTGATCCATGAGAACGCAGCCCAGGTCGAGGCGCTGGTTCCCATTCGTCTAGACATGGAGATAGATGGACAGAAACTGCGAGATGCATTCACGTGGAACATGAATGGTAAATATATACATTAACCAGCTTGCCAACTTTCAAAACATAGAGTACTGTCGCCTCTGCTGTGTCCAGTTATCAGAGTTTATCACTTTGTCTAAGCTCACCAATTCACCTCTCCTTAGAGAAATTGATGACCCCAGAGATGTTTGCAGAGATTTTATGTGATGACCTGGACCTGAATCCTCTGGCCTTTGTGCCCGCCATTGCCTCAGCCATTCGCCAGCAGATTGAGTCCTACCCCACTGACGGCATACTAGAAGAGCAGGCAGACCAGAGAGTCATCATCAAGGTGAGTGCTGAACCAAAGGAAGAAAATTCCTCAGGGAATATCATGCAGCTTTACAGGAATATTACTAGAACAGAGTTTCATTAGTTAATCCATTGATCGACACTGGGTGTTTCTGTTTCCAGAAATTTCATACAGTATAAGCCACCAATAGTATTCTCCACAAATATTTATCCATCTTCCTGGTCAGCACCATGTTCTTAAGTTGCTGAATGCTCAAGTATAGTTTTCAAATGCCCTTTTTCCATCCTCATACAAAATATTTGGTGTTCATTTTCTGCTGTCACATTTCTTTGCCAGTATAATCTCTAATTTGTAAGTATCTAAAATGGTCTTTATTCTTCAAACTGAAGTTGTCGTTGGAAATTCCGTGCTGCGCCTTGGCTTCTGAGAGTGCTGTATGCTTGGAAAGTCCAACCTTTGAATCTTTTGTTAGGCTTACTATGTGTAAATCCTCGATCACGTGCAAACCACTTTGATATTTCAGCAGCCTTCCTCAAATGGAACTGTTTTAAGGGTTTGGTTCCACATCTGTCGTGAACTCAGTAGCCCTTGGGTTATTGTTATCTTGGATAGTGGGTGGTCACCAGTCATTGTATTAACTGGTATTTTGGGCTGCACAATTGAGCTAATTGCGATGTCGTCATGTGAGATTACATAACTGCAAAAAGTGTGCGATTTAATAAAACAGAATAAGTGTGTGTGCGCTGCAGTCTGCTCATCATCTCCGCCCACACCGGGCTCTCGCCTGTGCCCCTAAAAACAGATAGACCTAAGTGCAATCAGAAAAATTATTTCTGAGCAGTGTGGCAGTAACTTTAAGACAATAATCTACCGTAACCCCCCTCCCTGCCCCGCAGCTAATCGTTCAAAACATAGTTGGACTCGTTACCAGAGCACCGGTCTGTGACAGAGACATCGTCTGCAGCTGAAGCGCTGTTAAAAAGTTAGTATTAACAAATTAGAGTTAATGCTAAGTACTAGAGCCTTTTTCCTGCACAAGGATTAAATAAATAAAAACAACCCACAGAAATGAAACAGCTGTAACTGGATTTAATATTCAACTAGTGGTAAAATAGTATACTATTATATGAAATTATAATTAATATAGTATATCATTGTTATACTAACAGTAAACTATTAACTAAACATAATACTCTTTATTTAATCCACTCATGTACAGTTCCTCCTCCAGGCTGTGGATAGAGACTCTGCATTAGACATATGGACATGGAGCCGGTGCCAGTGTGTAGAGCAACACCCTTCCCTTGTTCTGTTTTAATAGTTATTGTTATAAATATTGTTTAATTTGTTCGTGCATTTTCCTTGATAATCAAGCAAGTAGACTCATAGTACCATTTGTTCAATTATAATCAAAACACAATTGCAATTTTGTCCACAATAATCACAATATGACTTTTTCTCCAAATCGTGCAGCCCTACTGGTATTCCTTTTCCCATCGCCTGCTCAGTTTCTTTATATTCTTTCCATCCAGCCTCATAGTTTGGTATATATTATATATGGTATTAAATTTAATTTATTAATTATGAATATCTGCCACATTTTCCTTATTGAGAGGTCCTGTGTTAACTTCTGCTAGTCTTGATAAATCTGTGGCTGTCGATAGCATGTTACTGACTTCTCTTCTTTCACCAATGTGAGCCCATGCTCAGTGCCATCATTCTGTGGACTGCATTTGTTTGATGAATTGGTTGGTTTTCTGAAGTCTGCCTCTGATCTCTGTCGTGCCAGTCTGTAAAATCACAGAGACCATCGAATTTCAGTTTAAAGGGCCAAAAACCCGAAATAATCATAATTAGCCACCAGGGACTCGAAGCTGCATACTGCTGCTGTGGGATTAAAGCTGGGGCAAGCAAGTTATTTCAGAAGCAGTTTTGTTATATTTGTTGAAATTCTCTTTACATCCCCGAGCCCGTGCACTCTGCCTGTGCATGCACTGCGCATGAACATGTGTTTTGGGGAGAGACCTTAAGGGGGGAGGAGGGATTTTTTTTCTTGCTAGTTTCTTTAACATTGCCTAACCCAGCTTTAGTAGTAGGTAAAAACTTTGGAGTGTACATAACATGTTTGTGCATTCGCCAGCTGAATATCCATGTGGGGAACATCTCTCTGGTGGACCAGTTTGAGTGGGACATGTCAGAGAGGGAGAACTCGCCGGAGTCGTTTGCCCTGAAGCTGTGCTCTGAGCTGGGTCTGGGCGGAGAGTTTGTCACCACTATCGCCTACAGCATCCGCGGTCAGCTGAGCTGGCACCAGAGGACCTATGCCTTCAGGTAATTCATCCAGTCACTTTAACAGGGATGTTTGAATCAGTGGGCACAGTGGTCTGAGCACACTTTGATGAAGGCAGGCTCTGCATGTAACACATGCAACACATTACCAAACTTTGAAGGACTGTCGGGCCTGATGCTCTTTGGTGTGTTATGGTGGACTGATACTGCTGTGCTTGTAATTTGCTCACAGTGAGAACCCACTCCCCACAGTAGAGATTGCCATCCGCAACACAGGTGATGCAGACCAGTGGTGCCCCCTTCTGGAGACCCTCACAGATGCTGAAATGGAGAAGAAGATCCGAGACCAAGACAGGAACACAAGGTGAGACAGCCACACACAGATAGGTCAGATTAATTCAGGTGATATATATCCACTCCACTGTACCTGCTGCTGCTACCTAAGGTGTGTTGAGCTAACACAAGAATTGTGGCTAAATAACATTTGAAAGATTAATTCTAGCTATAGTAGATTTCTGGCTGCTTGATGCAGGATGATCTTTAGTCAGCAGAAAGCCACTCAAATGCCTGGAAGTTGATGGATAAAACATACATACAGGTGCTGCCGCAGACTTTCCTAATATCATTTAGCAGCTAAGTGGTTTAATCCGTACAGGGTCTGCCCGGCGTAAGTGGATCAGTCAATCAAGTGCATATCATCTAAAAAATGTAACCTGTACTTTTACTCTTTAGCATGTGCACGGTGAATAAAGAGAGCCATCATGGATGCAGCTCTGATACTACAGGTCACCCTGATAGCGGTCAAAGCCTCCAGTTTAAAACCAGTGGGTCTGGAATTATTAAGGAGTGCATGCTTAAGTGCATAAGCAGACTATGCAAATATATCTTAAATACAAACGCAGCAGAGAAAGAGCTTGAGTTAGAGTCGACAAGTTAACAATAGTGATCGGTTGGCTGATTAATCTGACTGTTATCTGGCATTTTGAGATCGTCAGCCAATGCCTGCACTGACGAGGCCGATAAACAAGAAGTGTTTGGACACGTCTGCAGCAGCCTTGTCAGTGAGCTGCTGTGGAACAATGTCAGTGCTCCCCCTTGTGAGTTTTGGGAAGTTGGTGATAAAGTTAGTTTGGAGCTCTAAATGTCCTCAGTCACCATCATCTTTTCTGAAAGTTAACATGTTTCTCCCATCCTAATGACAGCAGATGTGGCTAGCGTTAAATTTATGTAGTTATACTGTGGAGATTAATGCAGCTGAATGAACTTCCACCTAAAGCAACTCGTACATCAAATGGTACTCGGTGTGGAATAATGGAATCATACATGACTTTTCTCTGTTTTGATATCAGCATTATATATCGGCTGTCGGCCACCCTGCTCTCTGAATATGCCCTGTATTTATCTGTTGCCATGGTGAATAGTTGTTTCAGAGCCCCATGATAATGATTATCCTTTTTTTTTTCATTCAGTCAGTCAAACTATTTGTATAGTAGAGTATCTTTCAAGCAGTCAGAGCAGTTCAAAGTGCTTCACAGCTGACTGACAAGCCGATAAGACGGAATGCAAGCAAGAAAAAAAAGATTTAAATTTCATCATCGAAACACTTAACTCATACTTTTCACAAACTAAACTTTCTGGAACAGAAAGTTAGTCCATTTATTTAGTCCAAGTCATTTCACTATATGATATTAGTCTTGTCTAACTAGAGAATGTTCAGATCATTCCTACAGTTGTTGCAGAATTGTTGAAACGATGTGAAAAATGTTGAATGTGTTTTTCTAGGCGTATGAGACGGCTGGCCAACACTGCTCCTTCCTGGTAGAGAGAGACATGAGCTGCATCAGATGATCCTCTGGAGACTGTTACTCTCTGTTACTCTGAAATGATCGAGTTTATACATGGTGTTACACACAAACACACACACACAGGCATTTATAAAGCATCTGGACGTGCCTGTAAGCATGAATGCGCTCACAGACATGTGGCCAGTCTCCATAGGAACCTCGCTGACCGAACACAACACACACTTATCCAGGCATTCCTCTGCACACACAGTCTACCGTTATCACGGTTCACTCTGCCTTCAGCACGTCAGTCAGCGTCTGACAGCAGTTCAGATTGAACCCAGCATCACTGTTAGCTAGAGTTTGTTTGATTGAAGGAGGTCTGATGTTACAAAAGTGACTGTTACACACAACATGCAACATTCACAGCACACCTGTCGAGTCAAAGCACCTGGCATTACCTGGCACATTGAAAAGGAAAAGAGAAGCGCAGGTGGAACTAATAACTTTAACTGAGGCTCTGGGTCCCAGTACTGACTGACAGAGCTAAATAGAATGAAGTCATTGGTAATATTAATGGCACCTATGCTTTTCCCACTATGACATGTCAAAGGCCCCATGGCCACTTGTCGTTTCAAGTGATTCAGATTTAAGACCCTTTCATTTACATTTAGCCACATTAAAATGCCTGGTCTCAAATTGATGATTTAGCAGCTGTTCTCACAAGAACAGAGGAGACAGATCATGGATGTATAAAGAACATCGGAGTGTGGCTACTGCCACAGGCTGCTTACTGACATGTTTCCACTATTTGAAGAGTAAAGATTACATGTGTCTGTTAGACGGATGCTTTTACAGATGCACCTTTTAACATCTGGCTAGAATGTGTCTCAATCTGTCTTAAATGCTTCTTGGATGTATTAACACTGGCAGATTGGATAGCTCTCCAACTACCAAGACACATGAAATGACTCCGTGTAAATGGGCTTAAAGTGTCTGTTAAGGGGGGGAAAAGCCTTGTAGTGCTGTTCCACTGAGGCAAGGTGTCCTGTTCAGCTGCAACAGATACATGACCTTTATCTGTTTTTATAATTGATTTAATCGTCTTAGTCATTTTTCAAGCAAGAATAGTGAAAAAGTGTCAAACATTTCTTGTTCCAGCTTCTCAAATGAGAGGATTTGCTGTTGGGAATATCTTTGGCTTTAGTCTGTTGTCACACAAAACAACACATTTGAAGATGTCACCATGGGAAGTCGTGATGGGCATTTCTTCACAATTTTTTTATATTTTATAGACTATACAATTCAAACTGGCATTGCACATCAAACCTCTGTCGGTGGATGATAGCGCAGATTACATTACATAAAGCCCCTTTGTGTAGAGAACATTTCTGACTTTGGTGACTGATTGTGGGATGACCAAAAAAGATCTGGTATGAATGAGATCTCATTCACACCATCTCATTGGGAAGCTGCAGTAATGTCATAAGAAATCCTATATATTGGGGCATTAATAAATGTCAGTAAGCCACATTAAAGTGTTTTGGCCAGAGATGTCAGTGTTTTTACTTGACTGAAATGAAACCAGTGTGCATGTATAAAATCAATCTACAGCAGTCCTTGGTAATGTTTCTGCTGTCCAGACAGGTCTTCAGACAGTAGCAGTGGCTCAGATCTGTCAAGTGTTTGCAGTCAGTTAGAGAGTTGGTTTGATTTTAGCAATTAGACTCTGCGTCCTGATCTTGGTTGCCAGTTCCAATCAGTTATGTGCACCAGTGTTCATCTGCATGCTAAAACATAGGTAGTTCATACTGTACCAGTGCATGAGGACTAATTGTTCCCACTGTTTGTACTGTGCCTCACACAGAGTCAGTGTCAGCAGACCGCAGCCTCTGATTTACTGTTAGCGGAGTGGGGGTGGGGGATAAGCTGACAACAACCAATGGTGTCTTTTTAAAGTGATGATTTTCAATTTGAACATACTCATTGAGAATGATGTTAACATATGTACGGTTGCTTCTTGTTCTCTTCTTTTGTAAAATTGCTTTACCTTTATAGTGGACTCGTTTTTTATATGAAAACTAACAATAAAGAAAACTTGTTGGAAACATGCTCTTTTGTTAACCTGTGAATGTTTTTAATTTGGATATTTTAATATTTTCTCTCAACTGTGAGCTAAATATCTTTAAAAAAATACATTTTCCTTGTGTGAAGAGGAAGAATTTGTAAAAGGCACTCACAGGATCTGGGCCAGTATTAAGTCACTCAGAAAACGATTTCTTAAATGTGTAAAAGTCAAAGAATGACAATTTTGCTCTTATTGCAAAAGGTAAAAATATGAACCATTTACTCAGCTCTATATTATTTAAGAATATCTCCAGAGGTCTCCTTCGTCAGTTTGGAGTGAGCAGCTGATGGTACATAGTTTCTAAATTTTGGAAATGTATAAGTGGATAAAAAGATACAAGGTCTGTCACAATGATGAAGAGGTGAAAAGAAATGAAACGTATGTGATTTACATACCAGCACTTAATAGGAGCTTCCCAGATGGCTCTCACCTAAAATGCTTCATATGTCCTTTAACTTGTGATGTTTCTGAATAATATCCCACATATGATACAGCATCTGATTTGAACAACAAATATTTTATAGAAACATCACAAGTTAAAGGACATATGAAGCATTTTAGGTATTGTTCTGAATTACAGTTAGTCTTTCAGAGGGTTAATCATGACAAGCTGTTCGTGAAGCTATGACTAATCCAACCCTCAGTGTTTGAAGTGGGGCATTGCGGGTAGACAGAATTGTTTCCTTACTACACAGCACTGAGGAGTCAGCAGTCAGCACTGAAGACTCATGTTTACACTGTCACGTCCTTATACAAAGCTCCTCTGGCTGTCTTTTACTGAGAACTCGTAAGTCAGTGCGGGACCCTTTCTGAATAGTTTGGTTTGCTGCAGTGATTGCAGTGTTGGTTCACTCAAGGTTCAAGGTAATTTATTTCTCATTATACAACACAAGGTTGTACAACAAAATGAAAGTGTATCAATCAATGAAAATTTATTTATAGAGCACTTTAAAAGTGGACACAAAGTGCTGTACAGTAAAACAATAAATAAATACATAACCTACACTAAAGACAAAGCTCACACGACCCATAAAATACAAATAAAAACAATAACCATACAATAAAATCAATACAACCAATACAAGAAATGTCAATGTCAGTTATCAAAGGCCAGGGAAAAGAGGTGGGTTTTAAGAAGAGACTTAAAAACAGACAGTGAAGATGCCTGTCTAATGTGCAGAGGTAGATCGTTCCACAGTTTAGGAGCTGCTACAGCAAATCCACGGTCCCCTTTGAGCTTGTGCTTTGTTTTGGGCACACTTAGGAACAGTTGATCAGCTGACCTGAGAGAACAGGTGGGTCTATAGGGGTGTAGCAGCTCAGAGATGTAGGGTGGGGCAAGACCATTAAGGCATTTAAAAGCAATTAAAATAATCTTAAAATGGAACCGTTGATGTACAGGCAGCCAGTGGAGTGAGGGTAAAATGGGGGAAATGTGCTCACATTTACGTGTTCCAGTTAAAAGACGTGCAGCAGCGTTTTTGAACCATCTGGAGACGAGCAATAGAGGACCCACTGACCCCCACGTACAGTGCATTACAGTAATCCAACAGAGTAGTGACAAAGGTGTGGATTACTGTTTCAAAGTGCTACCTAGAGAGAAATGGCTTTATTTTGGCCAGTTGCCTCAATTGAAAAAAGCTTGTTTTAACCACTGAACTTATCTGTCTGTCAAGCTTAAAGTCAGAGTCGATTTTAACCCCTAGGTTAGTGATTGTTGGCTTGATGCACTGACTCAAGGAACCCAGATCGGCACGGGGGATCCCAGTGGTGCCACCAAAAACATCACTTCTGTCTTACTTTAATTAAAACTTAAAAAGTTAAGAGCCATCCAGGCCTTTATGTCATCAAGACACTTAAGTAATGGTGCAATGGTTTCATTCTTTTTAAGAGGCACATAGGTCTGACTATCGTCTGCATAACAGTGGAATGACATACCAAGTATGGAACCAAGCGGGAGCAAATAAAGAGAGAAGAGGGCCTAATATTGAGCTCTGTGGGACCCCACAAGAGAGAGGCGCAGAGGAGGACACAGAATCTCCACAGCTTACACAGAAAGCTCTACCTTCCAAATAGGACCTGAACCATTTCAGTGCAATGCCCTTGATGCCAACCCACCACTCCAAACGAGAGATCAGGATTTCATGGTCCACTGTGTCAAAGGCCGCAGTCAGATCAAGAAGCACAAGAATAATACAATCCCCGGAGGCAGTAGATAAAAGGATATCATTAAAAACTTTTAGAAGGGCTGATTCTGTGCTATGTAGGGTTTTAAAACCAAATTGGAAGACTTTAAGAATATTGTGCTCATCCATGAAGGCCATTAATTGTCTGCAAACTATCTTTTCAAGGATTTTTGACAGAAAGGATAGTTTAGAGAAAGGTCTGAAATTAGCGAGGTCTGCAGGATCCAGACCAGGTTTCTTAATTAAAGGTTGCACTACTGCATGTTTAGGGACCACCCCTGAGGAAAGGCTGCTATTTAAAACTGAAAGAATAGATGGCCCTATAGTAGGGAAAACCTCCTTAAAAAATCGAGGAGGGATAGTACCATTTGGAGAACCTGAGGGCTTCAAACAATCTTCTGTAAAACAGACAAAGTCACAGGTTCAAACTTGTCAAAGACAGCGGAACAGAGGACAGGGACTGAGGAGTCATAAGCAGAAGGTGAGATTTCCGCCCTAATGGTAGTGACCTTATCAATGAAAAAGTCAAGAAACTTTTCACACACAGCATGGGAGGCATCAAAACAGACAGTTTGCGGGACATTGAGAGCTGAGTCTATAGTCTCAAACAAAACACGAGGCTTGTTACAGTTTGACAAAATTATTTCCTTTTTGCTTCTTTCATAATTGTCTGATAATGCCGCCAGAAGTCCCTTAACATTTGAAAAGACACATGCAGTTTATCCTTTTTCCATTTGCGCTCAGCCTTACGGCACTCACGTCTGACAACACGGGTCATGTCATTCAGCCAGGGTTCAGCTTTTGTTGTAGATTGCCTGGTTTTCAATGGAGCCACAGAGTCTAAAACAATTTGGCAAGTGGAGTGAAACCATGCGCTAAGCTCCTCTGAATCATTCGACTCTGATGTGTCAGAGTGCTGACTGAAAATGGAGGAGAACTGAACAGCAGTGGGTTAAGGGTTAATAATACGGCAGCGCCGTGCAGTAGCGCGAGGTTTAACTGGATTACAGGCAAGAACAATCTCAAATAATACTGGCATGTGGTCAGAAAACACACCGTCACAGATCTCTGAGTTAAGAATAGGCAACCCATAGGATAGGACAATATCAAGAGAGAGTCCGTGCTCATGCGTGGGGCCACACACAGACTGCACAAGATTAAAAGAGTCAATGAGGTGTAAAAAGTCTAGTCCATTGTGTCCATGTGTAGTCCATTCATGCTACACAAACACAACATAAATAAATGTACAGTACTGTGCAAAGGTTTAGGCGTGTGTGTGTCAAAAATAGACATGTTAATAGATTAGATTGATCAATTAACAAAATACAAAGTGAGTGAGCAGAAGAAAAATCTATAATCAATATTTGGTGTTACCACCCTTTGCCCTCATCAGTGTTTCTAGGTACACCTGCATATCCACTACCGTTCAAAAGTTTGGGGTCACTTAGAAAATTTCTTGTTTTCAGGTCATCGATACCGCTGGTTCGTTAGTGTTCCTGGTTGCTGTGACGACAGTCGTTACAGTCGTTAAGACTACCTGTGGCCAAGACTGAACGACCATCGTTGGTATCTTCACCTGAGGCCAATAGGTTACGTTTGTTGAGTTTCCTGGGAAGTGATGAAAGGACAGCATTGTAAGTGGGGGATAAGTGGTGGTGTAGACCCCCTCCCCTGTTCAATGACGGCTTCTCGACGGCTGACGGCTTCTACACCGGGGTCGAGAAGCCATTGGATGTTGAACTGGCCGCCTTTAGACTAGGTGAGTATCTGGAGCATCAGCAACTGTGGGTTCCATTACAGGCTCAAAATAGCCAGAAACAAATAACTTTCTTCTGAAACTCGTCAGTCTGTTCTTGTTCTGAGAAATGAAGCTATTCCATGTGAAAAATTACTAAGAAGCTGAAGATCTCGTACGATGCTGTTTAACTCTCCATTCACAGAACAGCACAAACTGGCTCTAAGAAAGAGGACTGGAGGACTCCGGTGCACAACTGAGCAAGAGGACAAATACGTTAGAGGGTCTAGTTTGAGAAACAGATGCCTCACAGGTCCTTAACTGGCAGCTTCATTAAACAGTACCCGGAAAACAACAACCTGCCTTCTGCTGCAGCCAAATATTCAAAGTTCAACTCATCAGTCCAGAGCACCAGCTGCCCTTTTTCTGCACCCCACTCAGGCTTTTTGGCTGCAAGTCTGCCATGATGGCATTCTGAGCCATAGGTGTTATTTACACTGGGGAAATTGGGGACATGTCCCCACCACATTTCCACGTTTGGAAGCATGTTCAGAAAAATAGCACCAACAAATTAACTAACAAATGAAAATGCTTTGAGTTTATTTGCACAATAAGGAAACGTGCAATACAATTTAAATATAGAAGAAACAAATGCCCAAAAAAGTTACTTAAGATAAAAGAAACAAGCAACCGATTACTGCATTATATTCTGTTATATTTTTATATTCATGAATGGTCACATGCTAGCTGAATTTTTTGTTTCCACTGTAAATTGGATCAGAAAATGTCTTGAAATGCTCAAAATCTTCTTGTTGCTCAGTCTTGCCATGGTGAATAACTTTGACAGTAAACTGTCTTCATCAGCCTCACCTTGTATTTTGTTAATTGATAAATATAATAATGTTTATTTCTGAAAGTATTCTTTCCTTACAGCATTTCTTCCTGGGGTTACTGTACACATATTCCCTTTTATCTAAAAATCTTTTATACTTGACCTTTTATTCATCTTGAAAAAAATTATAAATGAGAAAAGTTGTGATAATATAAGCAAGCAAGTTCAAAG